CTGACCCCCTCTCTCCCCACTCCCAGCGGCAGCAGTGGTTGCAGGAGGCCATGGCTCACGCGTTCAGGGGGCAGCTGGAGGAGGTGGAGCAGATGAAGGAGTCTGCGGGTGCTGACCCCCTCTCTCCCCACTCCCAGCGGCGGCAGTGGTTGCAGGAGGCCATGGCTCAGGCGTTCAGGGGGCAGCTGGAGGAGGTGGAGCAGATGAAGGAATGTCTGCGGGTGCTGGAGGCCATGTCCCCGGGCGGGGACGGTGGCGAGTCCTCGGAGCCAGCTGAGGGCGACCCCTCGCGCCAGGCCAGTGCGCTGGAGCTGCTGGCTGAGCTGTGTGAGAACCTGGACAACGCGGGGGGGTTCTCAGAGCAGGGCAGATTCTGGGGGGTACTTGGAGCAGGAGAGGGGCACTCGGGGCAGGGCTGGAGGGAGCTGGAATGGGGGGGGTGCCTGTGGCCTGAGAAGGGGGAGGATTGCTGTGGCTTTGGGGGGAAGGCAATTGGAGGTTCTGGGGGGCCTGTCCCCAAGGCAGGCTGGTCTCTGAGATGGGGTCCCCTCATATCAGGGTGTCTCTGGAAGGGACCCAAACCTCCGAAGATGGGGGCAGAGCTAGGTGAGGGTGACCCCAATAAGGTGGGCCTGGCATAAGGGGTGCCCCGCCAGCACTGCCTGAGAACCCCATATGACACCAGAGTCTGTGTGTGCTGGGGAGGGAGATGTGGGGCAGCAGAAGGACCCTCCCTTGGGTGGGGGGGACTCCGTGCCACCTGCTGTCACGCCCCCTCTTCCCCCTCCCAGATTTCTGCAAGCTGGATGGAATGCGGCTGCTGGCTCATCGCTACCTGGAGCACCCTGTCCCGGACCTGCGCTGGCGTGCGGCCCACCTGGTAGGCACCTGCGCCCAGAATGTGCCCAAGGTGCAGGAGCAGGCGCTGGCGCTGGGCTGCATGCGCAAGCTGCTGCGGCTTCTGGACCACGACGGGGCCGACCTGGTGCGCGTCAAAGCGCTCTTCGCCATCTCCTGTGAGTCCTGCAGGGGCGCCGGGGGCGCCGGCTCCTGGCCAGTCTGGGGTGGGGATGGAGCCCGGGGCCTGGCCACTCTACGGGGCTTTGGCTCTCATCTGGTCCGTGGGCAGGGGAGGTGTGGGGTGCTGGGCCTGCCCCTTCTAGGGGATGCCCCCCAGAAAGGGGTGAGAATGGGGCCCTTTCCCCTCCAGGGGGCGCCAGCGCCACAGCCATAGAGAGCATTGGCCCTGTGGTAGCAGAGGGGCCAGGGTGGAGCCTTGCTCGCCTCTGCCCCTGGAGGCTGGGAGCGGTGTTGCAGCGGGGGGAGGAGCATGCATGTTGCTCTGGGTGAGGCTCTTTCTGCCCTTCTCCTCGGCGTCAGGCCTGGTGCGCGCCCAGGAGGGGGGCCTACAGCAGTTCCTGCGCCTGGACGGCTTCTCAGTGCTCATGCGAGCCATGCAGAGCCCCGTGCAGAAGCTCAAGGTGAAATCCGCCTTCCTGCTGCAGAACCTGCTCTTGGACAATCCGGAGCACAAAGGTGAGGGACCTTGTCTGCCTGGCCAGGGGCCTGGCTGGCCAGCCTGGGCCCCCCGCCCCCCCTCCCGCACCCTCCCAC